GCTTTGCAGTCACCCTTTGCCAGGCCTCATTCTTGGCAGTGGGCCCAGCCACGTTTAGGCAGTGGCTACAGCTCGGAGTTGTACTTTAAAGTCACATATGTAGAAGGGGTAGGAAATGCAGCAGGAGGCAGGCCCTAAAGGAGGTAGAACGGGACGTTTCTTGAACCCATTTCTGAGGGACCCACTTTGACCGTTTTCAAGCCATGCTTCTCTACCCCTGGTGGCTTCCTCATCCCTAGCCCAATTCAGAACCTCGTTCATTCATTCCCTCAGCAATTATTGAGCGTCTTGTGAGGTGGGCGTTATACTAGTCTCTAAAGATAGAAAAATGACTGAGACAGTCTCTGACCTCAAGTGGCTCCCAGTCTAATGGGGGAGACAGATACGGATTTCAAAAGATGCTAACACTCTGGTAGGTGCTAGCGTTCTAGTGGAGACGTCAGGTGTGCCCAGGTGCCATGGTGCTGGGAAGGCACCTACTTGGAGGATGCAACGCCTAACTGGCCGGTCAGGGACGGCTTCTTCCAGAGGTGCTACTCGGGCAGAGCTCTGAAGGGTCCACAGGTGTGTGGGGGAGAGAGGTTAGGGACAGTACAGGGCATGCACATACACAGAGAGGAGGCTCTGAATTTCAGCACAGTGGCAGCTAGCTGTGTTTTTCTGCCCTGGCATTTTTGAACATCCTTGAAATGCTGGAGATTCTCCTTCGAAAATAAATTAACTTCTCAGGTGTATTCTAAGGGTTCCATTGACCAGGCGTGCCAGTAGGTTACAATTGAAGGACGTATGTTTCTGGTGCAGTTCAGCTGAATGTGCAGCGTTGTTAGCAGTTTGGCCCTGGGTCCGAGTTGCTTCTGACAGATCATTATCGCAGTATCAGCCCCAGGTCCCACAGCCTGGGCTGATTTCTCATTCCTGCATGAGTGTGGCGAAGCCAAGGAGCATTTGCCCTGCCTGCATCTGATTGGAATTGTAAGTTTATGTTTATTACTGGGTTCTCCTCTGAGTAGCTGCCAGCGGAGTCGGCAGTGGGCTGACTACGGCAGTCGCGTGGGGAGTTGGAAACCCTGCCAGAGAACACCAGGCCCGCTTGGTTTTATGTGGCTGCAGCTGTGACTCTTACATGTGTGGCTCTTTTAAAATGAGAGGAAAGGAAACATGAAAAAGTTATTTCTTTTCCAAAAATGTAAATATTGGACTATTTACCCCTCCCCCCACTTTTAAAATCTGTTATCTAGCTTATTTGTCGAAACAACAGAATTTAGACATTTCGAGGCCATTTCAGATTTTTAAGATTTCAGATCACTGGTGTCCAGATCTTAATTTTGACCTGCCCCCAACCAGTTTTAGGTCATTCTGTAGCTATCTTTTTGTTACTGTTGTATTAAACGTGGCCATACTTCCTGACAATTTACTGTTTACAAATCTGTTGTAGAACTTTTAAATTGAGATATTCCAGCAGATACCTTCTGATGACTAGGTGTCTTTACTCACGGTGATCATGCTATTCACAGTCATTTACTGAGCATCCATTTGACAGACTATCATAGTTTTTGTGCAAATATACATGTTCAGGAGTTCTGTCAAGCATTTGTGGTGCGTTGCGTTATCACATGCAGATTGTATTGGACTATACATTGCCTCTGTTTCTTCCTCTGTTAAGTGAACATTATAGTTCACTCGGGGTTGTGTGAGGATTTCATTAAGTATATATGATTATATATAATAACATATTAATTCATTAAGCACCTGTTATATTCTAGGCTCGTGCTAAGTGCTTTATATGTGGCACCTCATTTAATTCTCCCCTAAATCCAGTGAAGGAGATGCTGCTGTTCCCCCGTCTCAGAGTCGAGGAAACTTAGATCCTAAAGAGGTTAAGTTGCTTGCTGAGGGCTAAAGTGCTAATACATGGCAGTAGAATTTGGTTGTAGACTGTCTGAGTCTGAGGGTTTGGGCCTGTGCTCATTGCATATGTCAGACCTGCTTTATTCATCCCCCTTTACCCCTGCTGGCTGGACAGGTCGCTTGGCCTGCCAGGCTGTAGGACCAGCGAGTTAAGCACACTAAAGAGGGCAATTTTAGACCCTGGTAGCATCTGGGATGGGAAAGGCATCTGTTTCTCTCAGAGTTCAGGTGAATCTGGCCCTCCTCCACCCCCGTAGTGTGCCACATGGTACTTCTTGTCGACGCAGCACTTGGTGCTGCCCTGCTTCAGCGTGCGCGGGTTAGATGGTCAGGTCTCTTGGTTGTAAACCACATGAGGAATTACTGCTTTATATACCAGGAGAATCTCTTAGCCTGAACCACACATGCATGTGGTTTTATAACCCTGGTACTCTCTGTCTTTAATATGTGTATATGATTCTACTGGGGCAATTTGTCTTTACAATGATACAAATACTTGTAGGCAATAATGATTTTTCCCCACCACCTTTAGTCATATGTTAGCCAAACTGAATAAACATTTGTCTCTTTTCATCTTTCTTTACAAAGCGGAAGGCGCTGGAATGCAGTCATTTCTGTAGTGGCTTATGTGGTTTCCTAGGTGCTGTGTGTTCTGTGGCGACATGATGCCTGTATGTTTTAGAAGGGAGGGAGGAGGAGGAAGCTGAAAATCTGTTGAAACAGAGTGATGCGGTGGGAAATTTAACAGCCACAAAGACTAACTGGCTAAGTCTAAGGCAATAGCTATCATTTATCAATGAAGGGTAATGTGTAAGATATTTCACGACCTCATTGTGTCAAACTTGTTAAGCCAGGATCTTCTGTTTTCCTTTTTCTTCCTGTACAATTATTTTTGAGTAGTTGTGCAATGAAGTATTCTTAAGTGGCTGTGATAGGTTTTGTGATTTTTCCACAAAATTTGTATTATCCACAAATTTGCTAAAAACAATTATCTTTTAATATGCAGGTGTTGGTTCTGAGCTCTGATAGTAAGAATTTGGGTACTGAGGACTGTCTCATTATCTGAAATTGCCTGCTTGCTAAACTTCAGATAGTGAGAAGCAGGAATTCAGATATATACATTAGGAAAATGTGTATACATCATTTTGGTTTCTGAGTTCCAATGGTAAGGGTTACCTTTATCAGGGTTTCTCAACTTTGACACTATTGATGTTTGAGACCAGATAACATTTTGTTGCGGAGGACTGTCTTGGACATTGTAGGTTGTTTAGCAGCATCCTGGCCTCTACCTGCTAGATGCTAGTAGTGTTTTCCCCTCCCCCCAGCAGTTGTAACAACCAGTTATGTCTGCAGACATTGTCACGTTACCCTGGGGTGGGGTGAGGGGGTTGCCCTTGGAGGATGGCCAGATTGCCCCCTGTTGAGAACGACTGCACTTACCTAAATTTGTAGATAATGTGGAACTCAGAAGAGTAGCAGAGCCTATTATAGCCACTTAAGAGGTATTTCATTTCATCAATTGCATGGTGATTTTAAGGAAGAAAAGTACAAATAAAAGGGAGAAAGAGATCACCTTTAGAAGTTAAGCACAAAAAAGGCCATTAAATTTTTCCCATAAAAAGACTGTCACATATTAAACCTTATGGTTATGTGACAGCTGTTTCCTTAGACTTGGCCATATACTGTCTCTTTCGTTGGCTGTTCTCTGGAAATCACCAGCACTGCTTATTTATAGGTTGTCTTAGTGCCCTGCGTAGCAGTTTCAAATCACCAGCCAATTCTTCCTTTTACTGATCCTCAGCTAGCCCTTCCTTTCCTTACTCTGAAGAGCTGAAGTTTTCAACAAGACCAGAATTTATCAGAGGACGTGCTTTAAAGGTCCTCCAGCATCTAGTGCACGGGGCTGTGTTTGGCCTCTGTGCTGATTTGGTAGTTGGTGCTGGAAAACATACCATTCCTCCAGCTGGGCAGGGTGTGCGGTATTATCCTTCCATGTTCTCCTTTACCTTCCCTCACACTTTCTCTATTACTCCTGCATAGTCAGTGGCAGAGAAATGCCGTCTTACTGTGTTGCTGTTCTCATTCCCTTCCTGTGAGCTTTTTACTTGGAAGGCATTTATCTGTGTTATTGTTTTATTTCATTTCCACCATTTTGTGAAATTCAAAGTGTCAGTTGCATGCATACTGAAAAAAGCCATCCTTTTATTATGGAAGTGACTAGAATAAGAGGCTGTTGACTTTTTTTCCCACTTGTGACCCCAGTGTCCATTATAGTTATATAGGTGCAAAATTAGTCTGGCTAAATGGCTGCACCTTCCCAACAGCCTTGCTGTATCGTTAATGCTTTCAGATCTTTAGACGTTTCTTTTGTTATGCATACATGGCGTCACCCTTCTGAAATATAAATGTTCATCTTATTTCGCATCTGAAAAGCATCATATAACTAAATTTATAACTTAGGTTTTATTTAGTGGACACATTTTTTTCTCAGTGGTATAATTATCAGTACTTTATATTGTTGATGCCTCCCCTTAATTAAGTAATCAGTATGTGAATCTGATTTATAGTAATTTTGACCAAAAATTTGCTTTATGTTCAAGATGTGCTGTTTTATGCTATGACCATCATATCTTTAGCACAGAAATAGTAATTATAAATAAAATTTATTTTTTCTTACATTGTCATTTTGGAGCTGTGATGTTTAGTATCTATAAATTTAGTTATATTGAAATTTTCACTGACTGTTTTCTAGAATTAAGTTCATATATCTTAGGAACTAGCAGAGAAATTTTCCCTTTAGGGTATGCCAGGAGAGGAGCAAGTAGTTTCGATAATGAAATGAGACCCTACAGGAATATTTCTAGAGCAGCTATAATAATTCAAATGAGAATTGAATTGAGGAGGAAGGAAAAGAGAATCAGTTGGTTTTTTTTTTTTTCCTTTGAATATCAGTGTTTTGGGTAATGATGGCAGCAGAAAGCTAGAAGACTGTTCTATTTTGTCTGTTTTTTCCTGTGTATTACTTAGAACTATCTATTTTAACCTGGTTTGGAACCAAAATAATGGAAATATTGTTTTTGTTTTCACTGTAGGAGATGGAATAAACTGAGACTGCAGGACAAAGAGAAGAGTTTGAGGCTTGAAGATGATTCTGAGGAAAGTGATGCCGAATTTGACGAAGGTTTTAAAGTGCCGGGTTTTCTGTTCAAAAAGCTTTTTAAGTATGTGCCATGTGTTCCTTCCTTTACGTCTGTCATCAAGCCATTGTGTACAAATTAATATTTTAGGAACTACATAGTACTTACCTGTGGGCCCTTAAGGTACTTGCAGCAATTTATTGCAAACACAGATACTGTCAAATGAAATTTTAGCCACATGCTGTTCATTAAAATTAGACGGTAATAAATTGACTAAAGTGCGCGTAGGGTATGTTTATAAACTGATGAATCTATGTGGACCTGTCTCAGCAGACTAAAAGCTACACATTTAAAAGCTATCTACATCGAGTTCTTTTTTTGTTGCTGTTCTTAGCAATTTTAAGGGGCCAAACCTCTAACTTCTAAATCAGATTAATTAAGAAGACTTGCTTATTAAAATCAATATTGGGGAGGTTTTTACTTCTATATTGAAATAAAAAACTGTGTAGAGATTATTTTTCTGAGTGTCCTATACTGTACCTAAGGGTATAATACTTTTGAGCTGACCCAGTGTGTATCTAAATATTTCCTGTAGATGTTATTCTGGTATCAAAAGAGAAGATATAGGCAAACACCTTCAGGGTTGAGTTGCTATTTGAAACTGACTATGTTTCATATGTCAAGTAGCCCAGGGTTGCGTATAACCGGATGCCCTGTGATAGATGCGTGCCTATAGCCTACAAGGTCCAGGCGAGTCTCCGTGATGAATGTAAATACTGAGCCACGTTTTCAATCTCAGTCCCCCTGGGATTTACTAAACAAGGTGCTTTAGGAAGGCTTCCTCGATGCATATAGGAAGTTAAAGCATTAAATAGCTTCTTTCTGTCTCTTGTATCATCACTTGGTAGTTGGGTACGGGATGTAAACTTCTTTCTTTGAGATGGTTATGTTTAATCTCCTTCATAGATTCATCTGTCAGCCATGCCCTAAACTTGTGCAAGATGTCTACTTAAAAAGAGCATGCTTTTTATATTTCCTCTCCAAGAGCTTTTATTATAGTTTTAATTTTTCTCCTGGGTTGGAGGGGACCAAGGGAGTGGTTATTTTATCCCCCTAAACATAATAGGAAAGCTGAATCCTAAATGTGTGAACTATCTTGGTTGGGTTGCCGTACTGGACAGAAGAGCTGTAAAGAAGTTCAAACCTGAATCTCTAGTAATTTTTGTAGATGTTTTATAGCCTGGGGAGGTGGCTACTGTGTTTATTGCTTCTCCCAAATGAAAATTTAACTATGGAAAGGTACATAAAGATAATATTTATTGGCAACTCTTTTCATCTTCTCTAAAGTGATTGCTTATTAAGAAACACGCCAAATAGTATCAGTGTTAAACTCGCAAAAGGAATACCCAGATTATAGATTAAATTGGTTTAACAAAGACAGGATACTTCTACGAGTATTAAGTGATTTGGCAAATATCCTCAAGAATCAAGTTGAATGTGCATTTTTGTATAAATGTGGTATTTTCTAGCAAAGGAGTTTCACAGTTAACAGAACCAAACTTGGCTTACTGGGAGTACATAGGATTTAGTGTATTGACTGTTAACCCTATTGTAGTTAACGTAAATGCACGGTTTTTTAAAAAAATTTGTCTTAATTGCACATTCCTGGAAAGTATTTTGTTTTCATTTTTCATCTCTCAAAAACAGGATTTTGAATAGTTCATAAATGTTATGAAACTTCTGTTTCTTTTATTCTGCTACATGAAAAAAAAGTAATAGGATTGGTAGAGTCTCCATTTTTCTTTCATGATTAAGTTTTAGCCAGGCCAATTTAATTTTAAGCTGTAGATCTGTTTTTACTGTACTTACCGCACTCTGTGGAATTAAATTAACAGGGTATATTTGTACGCAAGGGAGTCAGCAGGTACAGTTATCTATTTAAGTGCTGTTTTCTGCAAGGTCATGGTTAACTTTTAAAATTCTGTTTTGAAAGTTTGCCTGGAAAATGTATTTGACTGTGTGATTTAGCAATCAGATGACAAAATTCAGTCTTTCAACTTTACTTTTAGCCACACTAGTAAATGCAATCTTGGGTTAATGTGACAATGACAAGATATACCAATTATCTGTGGTTATTTTGTGATGCTTCAGTTTCATGGGGGAAGCAGAGTACAGTAATTTCTTTACTCTTACACAGTAGTTTGTAAAAATCTTTTAACTTTTCCTAAAGAGTAATTTTTATGTCTTCAAAGGTTCTGAAAACTGAATTCCGTAGCCTGCTTTCATTTAAAGTATGTAATTGTTTTACAGTGTTTATTATTAGGAAATTAAAGCAACAAAGCCTGAGTCAGTTAGTGACACTGCTGGAACCAGAACCCAGACCCCCTAACTCCTCATCCAGTGCTACATGCCTACCAATCAGTGTGCTCGTGCAGCCTGAGGGCCTTCATGGAAAGAGAGAGCCGCTCTTCACCATCTTTATACAATGTCCCCAGCTGTGGTTGGGCATTTCCATGTAGTGATGTGACTTACAGGGCTGCCTGGTAGATATTTTTCCTGAAGTCATTTCTTTAGTGTTGTTCATCGTCTTATACGCACAATCATACACTGTGTGAACGCCCTTGGAAATTACATCTGTAGATGAGGAAACATCTAGCACAGTGTCTCTGCCTCTCGTGGGTCACCTAGAATCCAGATGTCCTAACTCCCTCTGGGATACCATACTGGTCACCAGATTTTATTCCTTTCATGATTTCTCGATTGTCCCTCTCTTGATTCCTTAAGTTGATTGGCCCCAAACAGAGAGAGGGGTTGGACCTGTGTTGGGTGCAGGCAGTGTTGTATAGTGGGAAAACACCGGAATGGCCACTGGGAGATTTTGGCCGCTACTCTGCCCGGAGGAGCTGGTCCCATAATGGTTCTGTACCTCAGTAAAAGGAGGCTGATTGACTGGAATTTAGTGATTCTGAATGTACATCAGTTTTTTTGGGGAGGTTTTTGGACTACATCTTTTTCCATAGCTGAGATTAGTCGAATGTAAGTAGTTCATGACCAACTTTTATTTTTAGATCAGCATTTTTCATTCTCAGCACAACTGACATTTTGGGCTGAATAATTCTTTGTTGTAGGGACTATTCTGTGCATTGTAGGATGTTTAGCAGCATCTCTGGCCTCTACCCACTAGATTACATTTGCACTTTCCCAGTTGTAACAACCAAAAATGTCTCTAGGTATTGTCCAGTGTCCCCTAGGGAGCTAAATACCCTCTTTACCCCCCATTTACCCCCATCCCTGGTTGAGAACTGCTGGTCAAGATTATCTCCAAAGTGGAATCGCTTTGGAATCAGAGGTTCTGGATTTCAGTTCTGACTTGCTCATTTTTTTTCTAGCAGTGTGACCTTTAGCAAGTTACTTAACCTCTCTGTGCCTTCATTTCCTAACTATAAAATGGGCTGATCCTCTTTGTGTGGGCTGGTTGTGAGGTTGTATCCAAACCTCACCTGGCCAGGTGCCTCCCCAGCAGTAGGCCCCTTAAATGGTTGGTAGCCTTTATCTTCTGATTATATACCACATGTTAAATAGAATTTGTCCTTCATCCCAAATTAAATGATCTTTTATCCATAGTAAACTTCACTGTGTTTGGATTTTAAATCCTCTCGTCCAGGGTACATATTGAGCGTGTATATTATAATTAGCAAACTTAAGCAGCAAAATTCTCATTCAAAGTTTTCCTTGTATGATAGATAATAATGGCAACAGCTAGAGTCAAACTTTTGGAATTGATTTGCAGAATACTGGGGGAAAGTTAATTATGACATACTAGGAGAAGAGTAAATAAAACTAGTTTAACAGGGACTGAAATCCACAATGAGATTTTAGGTAGACATATCACATACCAAAGAGTAAAAAACATTTGGGCAGTAAAACAGCAACAAAACCACCTTCTTTTAAGGTGGGCAGCTCACTAGCCTTGGTATTTTCTTTCAAAAAAAAAAAATTCTTTACCTTTCATTTTTTTTTTTTTTTTTGCGGTACGCGGGCCTCTCACTGTTGTGGCCTCTCCCGTTGCGGAGCACAGGCTCAGCGGCCACGGCTCACGGGCCCAGCCGCTCCGCAGCATGTGGGATCTTCCCGGACCGGGGCACGAACCAGTGTCCCCTGCATCGGCAGGCGGACTCTCAACCACTGCGCCACCAGGGAAGCCCATCATTGTCTTTTAAGTGTTTTTTGCTTTAGATTTTTTTTACGTGGCATATAATTTTCATACCATTCCATAGTGTTAAATCTTTCACTCTCAAAAATGCTTTTTGCATTATTCCTTTTTTAACTTCATTTTTAGATTATTGAATTAGACATACCATTGATGGAGAAGGGCAAATACCAACTCTTTTTTTGTTTTTAAAGGGGAATATATTATTGCTCTTTGACCTGTACTCCTTATTTAAGATTTTAATAGCTCTGACCTTTTTGTATCTATGATAAAGTCCCTGAATCAAGTTCTACTTTAAAATATTAAAAGACCTTTTGTATTGTTGAGTCTTTAAACTGTTTTTTTTTTTTGCATCTGCTAGTAATATGACAGAATCATATGTACTAATTTTGTGAGTAGCCCTGTTATTCAGACTTGTTTATGGCCTTAAAATTTAATTTAATTTTTCCTATACAAAGGTAATGATTACCAAGTGACTTTTCAACAGTGTATACTGTAAATTGTAGTGTTCTCTGTCCTGCTTTTTGAAGCTGTTCAGACGGAAAAAGTAAATGTTAATGCATCTTTTCATAGAAAAATTATTGGAACTTTGTATAACTAAAAATATTTGCAGTTTTTTCCAGAAGGATATTGAATAAAAGATAATAAGTTTATGCTTGTTTACCAAGCTATTTCTAATGTTGAAAAAGAAATGAAATAGTCCCTAATTACCCTATCTATCAGTTTAATTAGAAATGTGTTAATGTTCTGTAAAGAAAAATTTGTGATTTTTATGCCTAGGTAATCAAAAATGTATGACCTTATAAATATAATACTCATGTAAAACACACATCCGGCATGTTTCTCTGACTGGTACTAGAACCTCGCTAAATGATTAATTCATGAGTACTTTCTGTTATGATCTGTATTATCCACCATTTGCCATTTTCTTTTTCTTGTTGGTGTTTGTTGTTGTAGGTACCAGCAGACAGGTGTTAGGTGGCTGTGGGAATTGCACTGCCAGCAGGCAGGAGGAATTCTGGGAGACGAAATGGGATTGGGCAAGACCATCCAGATAATTGCCTTCTTGGCAGGTCTGAGCTACAGCAAGATCAGGACTCGTGGTTCAAATTACAGGCAAGTGCTCCTCTGCAGACTGTCAGTCTGTGGAGCTCAATTAATATTTCATCAGATGTATTGCTGTGGAGGAGGGTCTTGTGAATTATTGATGACATTTCAATTACAATATTCCTTTAATTCTTTTAGTGGGGGACATCAAAGGAAAATTTTTACGAGACAATGGAGCTGTAGGGCAGGAGAAATTAAACATGTAACACTTTTAATGAATTCCAGGCATTGATGCTTCATTTTGCAGATGAGCCCCACTAGATATTTTGGGTCAATACAGTGTCTAAGGTTAGCTTCTACAAATGGATTGTTTACAAACTCAGTTATGTTAATATCAGTCGTTTACACAATATGGAATTTTAAATTAGACATAATACCTTTAGTTCCACTTATTAAATTTTACATTAAAATATTTGTTCTGGCAGGAGACCGGGTGAGCATTACAGTAAGTACAAAGTCTATTCATGGGGAAAGTTGAAGCTTTGGAGAATTTCCTTTATAATCAATTACGCGTGATAGCTTTTATAGATAGTGCTTTTTTTTTTTTTTCCTAATGAAGCTACGTATTTGCTCACTGTGCTTTCTACTTCCTCTCCTAGTCTTTAATAATTTTATATAAATTCTAAAGCCAAAGCCTAAGTGACTGTAAAATGATACAAAAATATTTTTAGGTTGTAATCTTTATCCTCTTTAGGAATTTAAATAAACGATTAAAACTAATATTCTGAAAGAATAAGCATTTAAACTACGTTTGTTCTGTGTGGAAGGACTGAAATAGTTTATCTTGAAATCCAGTGAGCTTTTCCGTATTTAAGCTGTAGATTGACTTTTTATGTCAATCAGTATTGGTAAAAATAATGCTAGGTAAATTATGTGGAATCTTTCATCTTGAGCCCAGGTGATCCAAGATCTCCTTGGATTCCAACAGGCTGACCTGATGAGTACCAGCAAGATACTTACCAGGTGCTTGTGTCCTGGAAACCTCAGGCACTCACAAGATGTGATTTGGAGATCCCTTTAAAAGAGTGTCAGTGTGCCTGAAGGCAGCAACAGCAGAGAGTTACTGCCCCACACGCTGGTTCATTGTCAGAAATGTTTGCGAGAGAGCCAGATACGAACCATAAACTATGGAGTAAAGAACTTTTTAAAAAACCTTCAAAGTCTATTGCTTTGCTTTTATTCCTTACTCTTTTCATTAATTTAGCAGATCCACACTTATCAGGAGCAGTACTGAAGTTTTAGAATATTTTAGAAATACTCATATAGCTGTAGGAAGGGAAAAATGTATTTGGAGATTTTTAAATACTAAATGTTCCGTTGTTATTAGAAGGAAGTTGTGTTGAAGCAAGAGTTTTTTCTTCAGTTATTGGAATTCTATTACATTTCATGTGAAAACATTCCATCCCAGTGGAAAAGTCAGAGTTGAAAATGGGCATTTAGGGTTTTCTTATCTATGTATGTCATTAGTTCACCACTTAAAAAATGCTTTCTCTGTTCTAAGTAAGCTCTTTGGTCGGCTTGGCTCTGCACCTCTTGTTCTATTTTGTTTTGTTTTTGTTTCTGTTAACTAGAATGCCCTAAGCTGCCCTAGTTTCTAAGACTGTCTTTCTTTCCTTAAATGATTTCTGGGATTTTCTTATCTCCTATCTCTTTTCTTCCCTTCCCGTTACCATGAAACTTGTGTGGAGTCTAATATGCTGGGCCTAGGAAACCTAAAGTCATCCCTGCAGTGTAGTTTTGGTCAAAAAATTAAAACGTGCTCTCTGGAGTGATGACAATCCTACTAGGAGTGAAGTGAGGGCTAATAATGAGCAGCAGCTGTAATCAATTAACTATCAATGCGCATCTCCTCTTTTCCATAATGAAATAGTGTGGCATGTTGGATTATAGCCCAGATCGTCTTTATTAGAATAGTATTGGTAGAAATGGCTTCCCAGAATGCAGTTATATATCAGCCAGACAACTGAGCTCTTTATGAATAGAGGTGTACGGAGGAGCTTGGTCCCTTCCACGTGCATGTGCCAGAGCAAATTGTATGACATTTTTCTCACAATTTCGTAATATGTCCTCCTCTGAAACTAGACGAACTTGGAGTCCTCCTCTGTGTTTATGTCCTAAAGAAAAATAGCCAGATGCATAGTCAGACGAAGTTCTGCATGAGCCAGCATTGCTTCATGGGCTATGTACATTTCCTCTGAACTCTTGCAAGCTGTAGATTGTGGGGCCCTTATTTGAGATGGTCTTAGTGTTGTAATTTTAAGGTAAACGATCCCTGAAACCATGGAAGTCTCTGGGATACCAGGAAGGAATTTCCTGGTAAAAGAAGTTTTTAATTTTTATTTCTTTAATGTGTTTTTTATGTGTGTTTTTAAAAAAGAGGGAAAAGCATATTTACATTTACATGTGGTTAATAAACATCTATACTAGTTGTTGTGTTCCCGGTTCATATTGTATACACTACCTTCTTTTCACTTTGCCATTCATATTATAATGATAGAACCCCTGAATTTTGTGATGGAGAGGAAATAAATTATTTACCTTTCAAACTTCAGTTAATACTTTGAAGTCTTGGATATCATTTAGGAAATTCCTAGTTACAAATAAATGGCCTGAAAAAGTTAATAAACTTTCAAAGGTAAATGTTTTTACTTTGTAATTCCTGGTAAGTTCAAGGCTATGAATGGCAGATTTCCATCCTGCAGGTTGAAATATTTGACCATGGAGCCATTGGCTTGTCGTAAACTCATTAGGTAATCAGTGATAATCAGAGATGAAAAGAATTGTAGCCAGTTTGGTAATTGATGCTAATCACTCTAGTACATTTAGCCATTTCTTACACTCATCTCACGGGATTGAGGGTTGGGGAAGGGTGGTGCAGTTGAAGTGACTGTTAATGGGTTTGATTGCCCCTTCTGTGGTTCAGGGACATCTAGGTCTGCTCCTAGATTCCCACTCTGTGTGAAAACCTCTGCAATCTTCTAATAGAGTGCAGAAATTAAAGGGCATAATAATGCCAGTTAGATGTTCAGCCAGAATAAAATATTGGCCTTAAATGACATTGTGGCAGTTGGCAGAGAGTGTGTTATAAAAAGAGCACAAATACTATATAACCAACAAAAGCATATGTACCTATTTATGTTTATTTGAAAGTGAATTTGTTTTTAAATATTTTAGATAGGTTTTGATTCGTTGTTTCCTAATCCCTGCTAAGTGCATATTGATGATAACTCTCTTTAATTCCCCTTGGAGGATATAAAGAAGTTGGTGCATTTAATCCTTTTAGAAAGGAATATTGTCAAGGAAGGGGCCAGGGCAGAGTCATGCTCTCCCCAGGGAGTTTGAAGGGGCTCTTGCATGGGCCCTGCCCTTGGGGAGGGGCAGAGCATGGCTTGGGAATTCTTCAGGAAGTGTCAGCGCCTGGCTTCTTGCAATCTGAGCCCATACTGTGGAGCAGAGGGGGCAGGGGCAGTGACTGTAGCTGGAGGTTGTTAGGATTTAGAGTGGGTGGAGGCATTTTGTTACATTGGAGTATTATAAGGGTAAGCCTCATTTAGGCTGTGGCTTATTTTTCTACTAGAACTACAAGGTATTTTTCAGTTGTGCAGATTATTTTTAATATTTCAAGTACTGTGTGATTTACTCTAGTTTACAAAAAAATTTAAGTTCAGGAATCATTTATTGAACCGTAACAAGAAAATAAAAATCACTCAGGATCCCCTAACTCAGAAATAATCTCTTTTAACGTTTCAATACAATTTATTCCAACCTTTAAAAAACGTTTTCACTTAATAAAGCCAGTATTTATTCATCACCTCCTGTGGTCTAGACATTGAGATCATTTGAAGAAGCGGCTGTCCCTGTACCCCGAAGGACCTTGGGAAGGATCTAGCAGACAATTACAGTAAGGGTGATATGCGTTATGACAGGGTTAATGTGGGGTCCTAACTAGTGTGGACGCACCAGGGAAGGGTCCTTGACCTACCTGGAGGGAAAGGGACGGGAAGGGAAGAAGCTGCGGGCTGATGGACAGGTGGCTATAGGAGAAGAGGGCAAGAAGGGACAAGGTGAAGGCTGAGAGGTCAGAGGAGTGTGCACTTTGTAGGAACTGAACACGGTGCTGGTGGGGGAGTGCTGAACCAGCGGGCCAGTGTCGGGGTAGGGGCCCTGAGAGAGGAGAGGCTGAAGAGGTGGGCCGAGGTCAGATCCTCCTGGTCTCATATGCCAGGGTGAGGTGTTTGTACTGTTTCGAGAGCAGGGGACAAACAGGAAAAGGGTCTTAAGCAAAGGGATGAGGTGTTCAGATTTTGCTTTCTTGAAATGATCGTCCTAGAAAGTGCAGTAACCCAGGTAAGAGATGATAGTGGCCAGAAGTGGAGTGTTAACAGTGTAGATAGAGAGACAGGGTAACTTTGAGAGGGATTTAGGAGGTAGATGTGACATGAACTCAGTACAGGTTGGATACAGTGGAGAACAGCAGAGGGGCAGAGGCCCGGATTTCCAATTGGGGTACCTGGAGAATGGGTGACAGTTCTTTCCATTGGATTAGGAAACATGGTAGGAGGGCCAGGTGGGGAGAGGATGATGTGTGGTGCTGTGGGGACATCTGAGTGGAGAGATCAGCCGGCAGTTGGACATCCAGGCATATGGTACTTTGGAGTTCAGGAAGGAGATTGGGGTTGGAGACCTAGATGTGCATCATCAGTGCAGAGACAGTAATTGAGACTGGGAGTTAATGAGATAGCATGGGGAAAGTGTGTGCAGTGGATCTAGCTTCAGATATTCAGTATCCTCATTGGGCAGAAAAAGGTAGGGGGTGGGGAATGACAGTTTAAAAGGCGCCAGTGACTCTGCTCCAGGATGAGTGAGAAGGTAGGCCATGTGGGGCTCCAGTTTCCTCTGTCAGTCTTGGCTCCCAGTTGCCTCTGGTGGTATGAGCTGAGTGTGAGTCTAGTGTTGAAGAGATTCCCATAGTTAGTTTGACTTTGCTTAGTTTTCATTTCATTGATACCCATCTCCCAGCAGGACTGAGGATGAAGCAACTCCAGTAGTAGGAACATTGGTGTAGCGGGGGTATGGGCTCAGACAAGAAAAGGGACACCTGTTCTGTGGTAACAGGAGGGAAGGAAGGCAGGATGGTACTGATTCAGTCAGGTGCCTATGGTGTACAGTGGATCAGGATATTTTGACTTCAGGTAAAAAAATCTTGGCCTCAGATTGGGTTAAATGTTCACATACCTACAGAGGGGGTAGGTTGTAGACACAGCATGATCAGAAGCAGCCCAATGGTGTCATCAGGGGCCCGGGTTCTCCTGATGCCAGTTCTTCTTGTGGTCATAAGATCTCCTTGCACTGTATTTCCTTGTTCACATGCAGCAGGAGAGACCAAGAGAGGAAACTCTCCCCGACCTAGAGTGTAAGTCCTTCCTTAACCGTGAGCAAGCCAGTCTTCCCACGCCCCTCAGTGGACAGGTGACTGTCGCCAGGGGAACACTGTGTGCCGACAGACAAGCTATGGTTCTGGCTTCTCCCCTCTTCGCCATAGCCAGACAGTGATCAGAGTCCCATCGAGTACATATCTGGGAAGGAAGAGGGGATACCTGCACAAAATTGTGGTTCTGTTCGGAAGGAGAGGGGGGATGTGGATGTTGAGAGAGGGGGCCATGACCAGTTTACTGGCTACCTATGTGTAAGTGAATTGGGGTGATTCCATAAGTAATTTGGTTTTTTAAAAGACTCACGAGCATCTTCCAGATTTTAAATATTCTTCAAAGATGATTTTAATGGTTATATTATATTCCATCTTATTTAACAAACCCTAATAGTATTTACTGTGTTCTGTTCTAAGCACTTTATAGATGTTGATTTAATCTTCATATAAATGGTATGATCACTACTGTTAGTATTTTAAGATGAAAAGCTGAGATTCCGTTAGTGTGTGCAGAGCTGGGATTCAGACCCAGGCAGTGCTCCTAATCACCAGCCTGTAGTGCTGTAGTAAAGATGGTTTATTCAGCCCTTCTCTTATTTACAGACGTTCAGGCAGTGCCCACTTTTTCCACAGTATAAATAATGCTACAGTATGTATCGCAGTACACAAATGTTTGTCTTGGGATCGCTTGGTCAACATGCGACTCTTGTTAAAGCTCTTGCCACGTAGTGCTCAGCTGCTTTACACAAGAACTGAGCAGCTTGCCTTCCGTTGGCCTGGGCTTTCTGGGAGAAACGGTCACTGTGATGCTCACCCACTTGTTTTTTATCACGTGGAGAAGAGAGCAGCACCATGTAGGGGAAGAGCAGGCTGCAGCGATCAGAAGACCGGCTTGAGGCATTGCTCCATCTCCTGGTAACCATGGGGCCTCGGGCACAGCAGCCTTCAGCGGCCCCGAACACCGCAGGATTTCTGTCCTGCTTGCTTCCCGAGGCTGTGAGATTGATTGAAATCTTGTGCGTGAAAACTCTTGGTAGACTATAAAGCTTCAGACCAATTGAAGACACTCTTATGTTCACTTAGGTTAAGATATACTGTACAATGCCATAATCTGGAAGAAGAGAGAAAAGTATTTTTGTTAGGTAATTTTTGTTTGATTTTTTTTTTTTTTTTTTTTTTTTTTTTTTTTTTTTTTTTTTTTTACTTTACTATAGACATTATCTTTTGATGTGTAGTAGCTGGTGTTTCCTCTTAATACCTGCACTCACTAACTGATAAATGGGGTTGTAGGGATTTCACTTGGTGGGTTTTATCCTCAATAGCCTTTTCTTTAAAGAAAATATCAGTAAATTTCCAAAGCTAGGATTTTCTTTTTGGAGCTGTTAAGGTTTTGTTTGTTCTTTTTCTGTTTTTTGGCAGTTGATCATCCATATTGCTGTCCTTCATGGTTGTCTTTTCTTCTTGGACATTTTGGGTGCAGGTTCGAGGGGTTGGGTCCGACTATAATTGTCTGTCCGACGACAGTGATGCATCAGTGGGTGAAGGAATTTCACACGTGGTGGCCTCCATTCAGAGTGGCAGTTCTGCACGAAACTGGGTCCTTTACCCACAAAAAGGTAACATTACAGTGTACTTCAGGATCTTTTTGCTTGTTTTAAAGCCTCTATTTTACATAATTGTTTTTGCTTTGATCCATTTATTTATTAAGTGTATGTTCCTGTGTTTCTTTCTTGCGTTTAAACTTATTGTTATTGATTTAATTTAGAGCTCTGTATTTTTAAAATAATTATGAATGCAGGTTTGTCATTCTAACAGTCCATGGTGGTGACATGTTCTTGTCCCATGAAACACAAGCCTGATACCCTGAGTGGGACCAGAAATCAGGGGGCTTATGCAGCAGTTAACTGGCTGGGTTTGGGGCATTAGAGGCTTTAAACAGTTTTAGGAAAAGTAGGTACAAAATGTAATAAAATAACTCTTAATTGATAAATGAATTTGTTAACATGCTTTTAAAATGTGTTTTAAATGAACAAAAGAACAGCCTGCCATTTTGTAATTTGTACTGTTGCCTTTTAGTTAAGTTGTTTTTTGTTCTCTGAATCGTTGATTACCATTTAAGTCTAATCACTGTTCTTTGAAAGTTGCATTTTCTCACTTGTAGTTTTACCCGCACATTATCAAAAAGGTTTATCATCTCTTCTCCTCTGGGTAGCATAGATAGGGTGTATTATGCTTTTTTAATTCTCTTGTCTGTCTACCATCTAGACTGTAAGCTCTGCAGTGTGGAGACTATGTCTTCATCATTATCGTATCCCAAGGGCCCTATAGACAATAGATAATAATTACACATTTTCACTGTGGGTTTGCAGGTTTGCTCTGTAGACAAGAAGTGGCAGTTTGTTATGAGTTCTTTCTATCCTGAGTCTCACAGCTCTCGAGTGAGGTCTCTGTGCCCCCATGAAAGCAGTGCCAGCTGAGAGAGCTGTTGAATGTTTGCCTCGCTCAGTTAAAACGTACGAGCCACTAAACTCCAGTGTCTTTATAATTCTGCCAGTACCCCCTTTCCTCCAAATTCCCATTTTGTTCATGGTCATGAGTAAGCAGAACTTTTGATAAAAGTGAATCAGGAGTATCTATAATTTGGTAGCTCAACTTTGGTGAGATGGAATCTTGCTTTTACTAGCTGTTGTTAAAAACAGCATACTTTATCATTTTAAATGATAAATAGAAAACAAATGAGTTGAAATAATTAATGAAGTGGGATAAACGCCACAATCAAAACAAAAAACAAAAGTGATTTTTTTTTCAGCAGCATGAAAATAACAGCTTAGATTGTTTTTCTAGTCAAACTAAATTGTTGTAACTATCCTGTCATCCTTCTTGTAAAACATTTTTGATTCCTTTTTTCACTTCCATTGTCTATTGACATTTCTTAATATTTTGTATTGCAAAGTCTTGTACTAGGATTCATTAGTTGATGAATGTCTTTAAAAGGCAAATTTTTCACATGTTCCTCCTTATCCTTTTATTTCTTTTGTGCTTTTTCTTTTACACCTTTACCATATCATGGCTCACTTGAGTCTCTTCTGTTATTATAGCCTGAAGAGCAACCTTCATGTAAATGAAATACATTGACTCATGAATGAAAATAGAATTGACATTGGTCAGTGTCTCTGTTGGTGAGATTTGCTTCCTTAACTTGCTTAGAGAGCAAACAATTATTTCACTTTTGTTTACAGTGATTTGCACCTTCTGAGGTGTCTGGTTATGCACAGACACATGCATATATATGATTGTTCATAATTTTTTTTAGTACTTAATGGTTTACCAAGAACTTTAACTTGAAGTTTCTTACTTAACTTTTGAGGAAAAGCAGTAGACTTGTGTTTTTACTCTGACCCTTAACTCTTTGGACAGTTCCTTTTTCATTATAAAGTATCTCAGATCTCTAAAGATGTAAGCTGTTATGCAAAAGATCGAAAAGATGTTCTTTTGCATCTTTCAAACCATACTACTTAAAAACACGATCCGTTTATTATTAATATTAATATCAGTTTATTATTTGTGATGATGACGTATTGAAAATGTGTTAATTCCTCTGCACAGGCCTTGTTATAACACTTCCAAGATCAGAACTCTGGCTTCCGGATTAAAAGACTGAGTGGCATTTGATCCCTTTGCTCCTTCCTTCTGTATTTGTGTGTACAGATCTTTGTTACCACTCCACGCACACCTGTTGGCTTATAGGTGTGTGTTAGATTGCAACAGAGTTTACATTTCTTAATCACATTTCAAATATTCTGTCAGTGCTGGTGTGTCCTTTAAGCCAGCACCTAATGTCTAACTTCCTTTCCATCCTTATAGGCTGACATTTCTTTTTTCCACGGGGGAACTTTCTGTGCGCACCAGCTGTCCTGTCTAAATGTATTGATAATAGCAGCACTCTGGTGTAGGGTTATTCAGTGCTGGAGAAAATAGAGAAGAGAATTTCTCTTTGGAAAACTTAAAAAAGTAATAATGCCAGAATTATTCTGCTTATCATTCAAGTAGATTATTTTTATTTTTCTAATGATTTGTTGTAGCTGGTAAGATGTAAAACTTTGAAATTTTGGAAGTTTTTCATTTAGAGAAGAGCTATCAAATGATCAAACAATTTCTAAATGGAGATCATCTATCATTTTTCTTCCCTAAGTTGCCTTTTAGCTTCCCACCTCTCTCACCAGGTGATCCTATATTATCTTTGTTAATATTCTCTTTGGTTGACAGCATAATTTTGAATTATCAAATGCACACCCAGCAACCTTGCAAAATAATATGTGGCTAGTATTTTCAACCAGATGATCAAATCAGATAAAGACATTTTCAGGCTCTGAATCTCCTTTAATGGTCAGTCGAAATCTCATTTACTAGGAATCTAAGATTATCCTTTTCTCATGTTTTATGATCCCTTTTTTCTAATGGAGAGAAGCTTGATATGCAAGTTGATTAATATTTATTTGTTGAATAACTATAAACGTAACATTGCAGGTATTTGATGCTATTAGGACTCCAAAAAATGGATATGATGTTTTTAACTGATCTTGAAAAGCTAACCATTTTCTTGGGGAAAGAAAACATATGAAAAGATAATAAAAGAAGGCAGTTTTGTAATTCTTATCCCGTAACTCACAGCAGGGGGTGGCAACTTTAGCACTGTGTTGTAAAGTTTATTTAATTATTAAGGACCCTTTTTTCAATTTGTTGGAAGATGTGTAATGAGAAGTTTCTTGCTTATATTCTGAAACAGTTGTCACTTTGTAGGTCTCCCACCTTTCCCTGCCTTGTAGGATATAGTAATTCTGTGGAATAGTTTTGATAATTCAAAGAGATTATCATTTTGATCCATTCATGGTATTTAGAGGCATAGGATTAGGAAATGTGACAATGGCATAAAGGCATAGATTTTATAATTACCAAACCAGGGTTGGCATCTTGGATCTGCCATCTTATAGCTTTGTGACCTGGTGCAAGCCACTTAGCTTTTCTGAGCCTAGTTTGATCTCCTGAAAATGGGTAATTTTTGGTAATTTTTTGAGGAGTTGTTGGGTTAATATGTGTGCACAATAAACTTAGTATGGTCCCTAGCATACAGTGTCTACTCAGGCAATTCCTACAATTAGAAACGAACAATATGGTAGACATCTTCATCTCAGTACTTGAGAAAAGATCCTCTGACATTTCTGATTGATTCAATATAAATACATTCGAGATAGAAGGTTCAGACCTGCTTTATCAAAAATATTCATAGTCATTCACGTCTAGACCGTTCTCCATGTTCGAGATAGAAGGTTCAAACCTGCTTTATCAAAAATATTCATAGTCATTCACGTCTAGACCTTTCTCCTTCTAGTGTCTAGATTCATTGGCCCCAAAATGATACAGTGTTAAAATTCTTTTTGGGAAATGCAAGGTATGACTAAAGAACAGACCACAGGAAAACATGGCCATCTGATGCAACTACCATCACATGTTCTTTAAAAAGGCCCGTTTTCTGAAACACTAGCATAAAAAGACTTGGCTTTTTAAAAATCTGGAAGGGAGACAAGTAAAAACTTAACAAATAGAAGTAGAAAAGGGCCACATGGTCCCTCAAGCATCCTGAATATTTCAGACCCACTCCAGGTACACAAATTACAACACAATGTGATGTAGTGCCCATTAACTTTCGAGACGGTGTATACACCTGGTACAAGAAATGATAGATGCTATGCTTGGTCTTTGAGGGATATTGTAAAATTATGTTGCTGGAGCCCTTTTTTCTTCATTGTCAGCACAAATCCTTGTTTATTAAAGATTTAGCTTGAAGGAAATTTTAATTAATTACAGGTGCAGTAAATCCTGCCTGGGAAGCTGCCGCGCTGTGTTTACCGTGAATGGCCTTCATGTGCCTGTGCTCCACTCTGCTCTCCCCGCTGCCTGACAGTGTGATTTATGGCTGTTGTTTTCTACCAGTCCACTGTTTGCCCTCTAGGAGGGATTGGTCTCCTGAGCCTCCATAATAACAGCAGCACTTTCACAGACATCTTTTAATGACAACAGCACTGCATTCAGTAAGTCAGGCTAATTGCAGATGTACCCTATTAATTGCAAAAACTAGGAGAGGTTACATATTTTACAAGCTTTTAATTTGAAACCGCCCGAGATGATTTGTCTTAAGTGTTTGGATAGAGACGTCCATAATATTCAACAATTCACCATTATTGAAACTCCGGTCTAGGCAGTTAACAGAATTCTGAGATTGAATCAGGTAAAAACAAATAGTCTTAGATGTGTTTTTACCCAGTGGCTGTTAAGTGGAGGTTATGTTTTCAATGTGGACATTAAAAAAATTTCTCACTCTTTTTATAAAAGCATCTTTGATTCTTATCATCATACATCTTTTTGAATATGGTAGAAATTTTGTATTTCTATAGTTAACGTTACAGAATTTTCCAAATAAACTTCAATTCTTAGACGTGTCAAAGAAGCTAAACATCACTCTGGTGGTATGTATTTGAGAGGCATGGCATCTCGTTTGTTTAACTGTGGTAAAGTGATGTCCGAAATCCGGTTCAGGGTGGTGTTCCTTGGAGGGTAG